CAGGTTTACACCATGTGTGTGCAATTATGAATAAACTCCAAGTTTATTATGATATGGGTTTTTATATCAATAAATATCCACTTCATTGTGGTATTCTTTTGTTTATGTAGTACAAATTGGAGAATAAAGCGGGTAGCTTTTCACATACATATTACCCCGCTACAAGATGTAGTAATAGAAGATATTAAATCTTTCCTTTATTTATAGTCTCAATATAATCAACCTCTTTCGCGTATACTTTGGAAACTGAATAAGTTTCTTTGAGACTTACTACAACACAATACCTTATTGGTAATTAATTGTGTTTCTCCAAAATAGTATAATTGGCTCTTGCAGAGTTCTCAATTAATTTTGTAGTACCACATATTCATCAACACCCAATATCTCTTTTAATGAGAAAGTTATACCATTATGGTTATGGTCAAAATTATATGCAAGATTTGTTTCTTGCATTACCGCTGACTTTTAATGATCACAATGCCAAAATATTTTGGCGTACAATAGGTACGTGACCAATGACCATGCATGCCATAATAATGATATTATTTTCTTATATCATCTCAAACCTCATTTTAGAGGTGAGTGCGATATATTCACTACCACTAGCACGTTCATATTCTTTGAAGAATGAATATGTATTCACAAATCAGATGTTGTCACATTCACATCATGAATGGACCATAATCATCTATGTGTGCTTTACAAAATTTCATGTCAAATCGATGACAAAATTTTTCACAGAGTGAAAGATTATTTTGAGAATCCTTATTGTTCTCATTACCACAAATGATGACGATTATAATTTCGTCTATTGCCTCGTCCACATCAATTGATACATTCATAGTGATAGTTTTGTCTTCTTTCAGACTTATCACACACTGCTATCACATTCTCTTAAGGGAATGAGAATGGAGCAAATTCAATGGGACGGGTTTCCACTTTTTGTGCCCATAATCATACATGAATTTGATCATGGCAAGACATAGAAATTTTTACCACTTCAGGTGGTTATAATTTCTTACAAACTCCATTAGAGTTCTAATAAAACTTTGTTGTCTTTGCTTGTATTTAAAATCAAAGTATAGAATAAAAGAGAAAAATACGGTAAAATACTTACCTTAAATCCAGAATTTAATCATGAAGGAAGTTCATGGAATAATTGACAATCATTATGCTCAATCTCAAAGCTTCTACTCAATTGGTTAGAGTATCGTGCTGATAACGTGTTATAAAATAATAAAAGAAGAAGAACACTATTGTAGAGAAAAGTAGAGGGAGAGAATTCTTATTGATTTGGGATGAATTACAATAGAATAGAACCCTCTATTTATAGGGAGAGGGTGGCTTAGCCACCAAGCAATGAACCCTAGAATCTCTCTAAATATAGACATTCACCATAAATATAATTGTATTTATAACAAAAAAAAAAAATTTGGGGCCCAAAGCAATTGCTTTAGCTGCTTGACCCTCTAGCTGCCCCTGCACAATTGCATAAAGTTCTATTAGGCGACCCCAGTACGCTAGGCGTTGGGCGTGTCCGGGGCGTAAGCCCCAACGGCCGAGGAGTAAGTCTCACGGAACTAAGCCCCACACATAAGCCTAGGGGCGTTTTACAAATGCTCTGCCTCAGAGCGAGTCCCAATTCTGCTTTTTAAAATAGAGGTAGCTCTTGAAGTTTGATTATGAAACATATAATAATGAATAAACCTTAGTATTATTTTAAAAAGAGATACTCCATTAAAATGGTAAAACTTAGGCCTGTCTCTAGGGCTGCTTATCCGGCGGATTGGCGGTTATTTACTCTTAACGGTTTGGCTTATCGGTTATCGATTTTTAAATGTATTAATCTGCTAGCCATCCGATAACATATCGGGCAGATTGGTATTGGTTTAGCTCTTATCGGGCGGTTTATCGGCCTAATTCAATCAAAATAAAATAAAATTTAGTCTCTCTATGTTTAAATAGGTGGTCGACGTACTAAGAGGGACGAAGCAGAAGAAACACCGTGATGGGTAAATCATCTGTCTAGAATCTTATTTATGTTTATGCACATTGACCTTAGTCCATGTGAAAGATTTCCAATTGGCCGTTGTTAAAACTAATGTTAGTCATGCTTAGAATTCTAGGATGCCTTAAAACCCAGGCAAAGTTGATGAAGCAGTGGTGTAACACTGTTGTTATCTAGTTTCAGATAGCAAATTCTGTCTTTGTCACAGTTAGATGACTCCTTTTATTTGGCTTTCTTTTATTCTAATTCACTTTGATAGAGTAGTGGAGAATATATATATATATATATATATATATATATATATATATATATATATATATATATATATATATATGGACAAAAATAAATTTTATATGTATATATATATTCTTGACGGGTAACAGATTATCCATTAAGAAAATTGAATAATTCGCCCCCAAACCGATAAGCCGTTAATAAAAAAATTTCAATCTGTTCCCCGTCCGTTAAACCATTAACCAGATACCAATAAGCCATGAAGCTTCGGTTTCGGTTCGGTTTTTGGTTTCGGTTCAGTTTTGAACACCCCTACCTGTCTATATAAACTTAGTAGTTACTATCCTAGAGGTCGTGTGGTTTTTTCCGGGACCCTGTGTGAACGCTAATATTTTATGCACCGCGATGTCTTTTTTAGTTACTATTCTACCCCTTATCTACAATGATTTGTAGTTTTGTACGCATCAGCCCATGGAAATATACACGTTTTAATTAATTAGAAATTGTTATAAATAGAATTTTATTTATGGTGAATGTCTATATTTAGAGAGATTCTAGGGTTTATTACTTGGTGGCTAAGTCACCCTCTCCCTATAATAGAGGGTTATATTCCATTGTAATTGATCCCAAATCAATACGAATTCTCTCCCTCTACTTTTCTATACAATATTCTTCTTCTTCTTTTATTGTTTTATAACACGTTATCAGCACGAGACTCTAACCAATTGAGTAGAAGCTTTGGGATTGAGCATAATGATTGTCAATTATTCCATAAACTTCCTTCATGATTAAATTCTGGATTTAAGGTAAGTATTTTACCGTATTTTTCTCTTTTATTCTATACTTTGATTTTAAATACAAGCAAAGACAACAAAGTTTGATTATAACTCTAATGGAGTTTGTAAGAAATTATAACCACCTGAAGTGGTAAAATTTCTATGCCTCGCCATGATCAAATTCATGTATGATTGTAGGCAAAGAATTGAAAACCCGTCCCATTGAATTTGCTCCATTCTCATTCCCTTAAGAGAATGTGATAGCAGTACGTGATAAGTCTGAAAGAAGACAAAATTATTACCATGAATGTATCAATGGATATGGACGTGGCAATAGACGAAATTATAATCGTCATCATTTGTGGTAATGTGAACAATAAGGATTCTCAAAATAATCTTTCACTCTGTGAAAAATACTTGTCATCGATTTGACATGAGATTTTGTAAAGCACATATAGATGATTATGGTCCATTCATGATGTGAATGTGACAACATCTTATTTATGAATACATATTCATTCTTCAAAGAATATGAACATGCTAGTGGTAGTGAATATACCGCACTCACCTCTTAAAGGAGGTTTGAGATGATATAAGAAAATAATTTCATTATTATGGCATGAATGGTCATTGCTCCTATTAAGTCCTAGAAGGACAAAGTATATAGTACGCTTAAAGCATATAGACAAATCGGTTTCAAATAAACTTCTTGATAAAGAAGATGAGCAAATGATCAAAATGATCATAATAAAGGAGACAAGTGATCTAGAAGATCACATGACATAATGCTTCATAAAATCTCAATAGAGGTTTAGGTACCTGAAATGAATGAAGAGATCTCTATGTTATGTCTTTATTAAAAATGTTGAAACCGATATAAAATGTTTGTCGACGACATCTATGATAGCGCTAAATATATATACGAGGATCTTAAGTCTGAAGAAACAATTCAAATAGAATTGGTTTCATATGAAAGCCAAGTAGTTCAAACACTTGAAAATATAAGTCAATGGTATGTGCAATCAGTTTTCGATATCTTATATGTCTAGCATGACATGAAAACTTGATATGTATCTAAAGTCTATTATATGGCTTATATAACTTAACAATCCCCGAAGGATTTAAATTGCTTAAAGCATATAGAATTCATGGTCACGAAGTACTACATCCTCAATGCAATTTGTGCACAATGTATCTTGCTATAACTATAGGCATGATAATATGATACCAAGAGTTTTCACCTCTATGTGAAGATATTGAACTGACGATTCTAACAAGATCATATGAAGACAATTCATCTCTATCAAGAATGATGATTTCAAGGTGCAATATATTCATTCAAGTTAATATAGCTGATTTGTTCATCAAATCTCTACCAAAGATCTTTTGAAGATGATGCACAAGATTGGAATGCAAATGCTCAAGGATGTAAATTAATGCTCTCATCATGGGGAGTTAATGCGCGTTGCACTCTTTTTCCCTTACAAAGTTTTGTTCCACTGGGTTTTCCTTGCAAGGTTTTTAACGAGGCAACCAAAAGGCGTATTACTAAACAAGTGTACTCTTTTTCCTTTACTAGAAATTTTTTCCCACTGGGTTTTATTTTAGTTAAGGTTTTAACGAGGCATATTATCTGGTAGATAGACATTCAAGGGGGAGTGTTATAAATAGAATTTTATTATGGTGAATGTCTATATTTAGAGAGATTGTAGGGTTTATTACTTGGTGGCTAAGTCACCCTCTCCCTATAAATAGAGGGTTATATTCCATTGTAATTGATCCCAAATCAATAAGAATTCTCTCCCTCTACTTTTCTCTGCAATATTCTTCTTCTTTTATTGTTTTATAACAGAAATTAAATATTCTTAATCATATATCACTAACCAAAATTAGAATTTACCAAGAAATCAAAATTGCTATTATGCCACTCAGCAAATTGAATTTCAATTTATATTAATAATTCTTAATCCACGTTGATAAATACATGTTCCCCAATTTTTCGTTTCAACATCGCATTGAATTATCAAAAAGGGAACCCGTTTTACAAAGCCGTCCAGTAAACAGTCCGGAGTTTTGACCGGAGATCGACTTTCCGGTGCCGGTGATCGTATCCATAGCATCACACTATCTCAGAATTTTGCAATTGAATTAGGTTTTGTTACGGGGCCATGGGTGAAATTGAGCGAGATTTCAGCAACAAACCGGAGGATCAGAAGAAGACGGTGGAAATCTTCCTGAAAATCATCGGTCCTTCTCCGCCTTGTCGCCTTAATGTCCCTTCTTCTATTAAGGTACTTTACGTATGCTCGAAATTGATGCAAATTATACTGAGTAAAAAAAAAAAACTAGGTATTATTTTTTCTATTCTAATTGTGCAATTGACATTTGACTTTTTTTTAATCTAGTATTCTGATGCATACTTAGCTAAGGTCATAATACCAAGTCATAGGCCATAGTACCAAGTCATAAGCTTTTCTAAGAGTAACTCGAAATAACAAGTACATCACTATCCCGGAATAATAGGAAACAATGGAAATAAAATACAACAGAAGGTGACTACGGGGCCTGTGAACGTCGAGCATGTATATCTTGAAGTCCCCAGCTTTTCTATCGTTTACAAATCATCCATGTACCTGTTGATGCTAACTTTAGCCTATGTTGCGCGGACTCTCTAAAATGGCGCCGCACCCGTGTCGGATCCTCCAAAAATGCACTATTTTTGAAGGATCCGGTACGCACCCACTAACATTTTCGGAGAGTCCGAGCAACATAGACTTTAGCACCTTAGAGATCTCCATCAAGTTCTTCCTATCCACATGAATCCTGTTGGTTAATTGAAGAAATAAAAGATACATATAGATAATGTCTACTAGTTGACTTAAAGTATTTGTATATCCAGAGGCGGACCTAGGATTTGAAAATGTACGGGGTACCACTATCCAATAAAAATTTGAGCAATTGTTGGAATGGAAATCGAGCACTAAAAGTCAAGTTGTGCCCCCAAATCAACCAACGTGGCTGCCTAAATTTTGAGTCTTAGGGTGCCAATCAAACTATATACCTGTTATTTAAGATATACACCTATATATGTACATACATTTTTTCCAAAGTTACGGGGGGCTGCTGACTCCCTACACTGGGGTAGGTCCGCCTCTTCGCCTCTGTCTATATCCAAGGGTGTGGTCTGATGGTCAATGAAGTAGGAGGAGAACTATGGGGTCTCAAGTTCTAATCCTAGTAGATACAAAAAACACTAGGTAATTTCTTTTCATATGCTTAAGCCTTGGAGGTTAAAGTTACCTGGTAGTTGTGCTGGTAGGAGGTACTGTGAACATGTGCTAGAGGGAGGTAGCAGGTACTCGGTGGAATAGTCGAGATGAACGCAAACAATTCCAGACATCACCGTCATAAAAATGGATATAAAGAATCCGTGATTTTGCTTCGAGACAAATTGTTAAGTACTGGAATGAAATAGACTTCAAGTGAATGTAATGGCTTGACGTTTATATTTCGAGGCACATTAATGAATGCACGTTTGATTACCAATTTTCCAATGAGTAAACTTTTTCAGAAAGATGGAGAGTTTTTGTGTTCATATGTGGCCCGGACACCACGGTTATAAAAAAATGTACAGATTATGAAGTTTGGGATGGAGCGTAGCGCAGACAAGTTTTCATAAATAAATGCTCTGATAGTTGGAAGTAGAGAAAGGCTGCAAGATAGTGATTTAAACTTCATGCTTATGGAAAAATTACTGAACTCAAAGAGCCGGTGAAAGTACATATGAACTCTGGCAGCTATGGTTCGTATTATACTTGATCAATCAGGACAAAGAATTGGAATCTAGAGTTGCAAAAATTGTTGATACGGTGGCGACTTTATGAGTTTTTGCAAAATAACTCAAACAAAAGCCTCTTCAGTTTCTTGTATTTTTCCTAATCATATTTAAAAAGTTGTAGGAATGCATTAATAAATATAGTTTAGTGGAGTTGCTTTGAATATGCTTTGACATTTCCTGTGGCATCTAGGTACATGAATTGAGAAAGATGATTGCTGGGAATCGACATATGCCTATTGAAAATTTAAGACTTGTATTGCGAGGACATGTATTGCATGATAATGAAAATGGAGATGACGTAGCAATCCAACTCAACAACGGAGGTTCAATTTTCCTTGACTTTATTGATTATCAAAGTTGATATAATCATTTTGCATCCATATATTGTAATAACTATACATAGGAGGACTTTATGCATGTGAGATATAGAGTTATCATGAGCTTTGGTCTCTTTTTTCTTCTTGCGGTTGGGATGAGTAGGAATTGCGCATATGTATATGTATGGAAACTATTCTAATGAACTGTCTATTTTGTTGCATATTGACTCAGCTTACATGATTTGGCTGGGTATCTTGGGGTGCTTCATGCTATGTTTCTGTATGAATCTCCAAATGACAGTTTTGGATGCTGTGTTTTTTAGTTGATCGCTTACTATTTTCCTTAGCTTTCTTATTGGGTTCTCACTTTTGTACATTTTCAATATGCAACAGAGTTATATTTTCATTGCCCCAACCCTCCTAGTAGGCTTCCTACTGTGCCAGCAATAGATCATATGTATCTTATATTTTCGTTCTCCAACCTATGGATTTTTGGATATGTAAGTTCTGCCAATGTAATGCTATAGCATCGTTAGCCTAAAGAGAAACAACTAGGTTATATGCACTTTTTAAGAAGCCGTAGAAAGTACACCAGTTCAAAGGTTATGTCCACTTCTGAATCTGCATCTAGTGGCACTGTTCAGAAAATCTCGATCCAGCAGCGAAATCTGTGTTTGTGGTTACAAGTGTTTAGAGTTCCAATAGGCCCCCAAGGCTTTAGTCTAGTGGTAAGAGTGCAGCGCGTGATTTGTGGGTTAGGTTCATGTTACAGGTTCAAACCCTATTGATGACAAAATCCTGGTACTTCAGTAGAAAAGGGTAGAGGGGTAGGCCCATTATTTACCATTAACCATGCACTACTTGCCTATGAGATTTCTCGGCTATAAAAAAAAAAAGCTTAAGAGTGCTAATGGCATATTTCTTTGTCTTAGCTACTTTGCACTCAATCATGAAAACGTTTGCATGATGTTTGGCCCTAGTCGATGTTGCACTTTCCCTTTTAAAAAAGAAAGGAAAAAAAGATGATCTTACACTTTCACATTTTCATCTTTATTCTACATGATCATACTTAATGAAACTTCTCTATTATAACAAGTTGAAATTCATTAATTTGTAGATTCTCTGATAGTTGCTGTCAAACCAAAGCCACCCCCTAAACATTTTCGGGATGAATTTGAGGATGACGATGATGATGAACTGGTGAGCAGTAAATAAATGCAGCAAATGTATAGGAAATTCAGCTGTTGTCTGTTTTGAAACTTGAATCCAGTTCCCATCTGCATACTTCTATTTTTTTCGTTTTTTCATACCCCCTAAACATTTTCGGGATGAATTTGAGGATGACGATGATGATGAACTGGTGAGCAGTAAATAAATGCAGCAAATGTATAGGAAATTCAGCTGTTGTCTGTTTTGAAACTTGAATCCAGTTCCCATCTGCATACTTCTATTTTTTTCGTTTCATTTGCAATGATTTAGCATTTTATTGTTCCCATTTCTATAAACAGAGGTTTCAGTTACCCCCATCAACTAGTAGGTGGAAGAGGAAGCTTTTTTATATATTACGTGATAAACTGAGACTTCCAGGTGAAGCTCTGACTAGTTCTTTTCACATTTCTTATCGTTAACGTAAAACTATCTTCTCAGTCCTCTTCACCTGTTCCGTTCCCTTTTTACTTGTTTGTAGATATGCTTTTGATGGTAATTTTCTCCATCAGTCCAAAGGTTTGGGTTATTATCATGACTTGGTTTATTCTGGCCTCTATTGCGCGAAGATATGAAGTTGCACCTTTATTTGTAAGTTCAGCTATTTTGTCAGTAATTTGCTGTGATATATGTGGCAGATCTATTTGTGTTATGATTCAGTAATTTTCGGAACAATACCCCAAAATGTAGACTGAATGTACATATGGTAGGGACATACCTTGGGCTCTATATGGTTAGATAAAAAGAAGGATTATATAACAAATATTGGTTGGGGCAGATCCTGTTTTTGTCACAAAGGGGGGGGGGGGGGGGGGGCAGAGGGCAGTGGAAAAAGCCACTGTTGGCACCTAGGGGTAGGGGGTTTTCAGGATGGGGCTTACCAAATTAAAATAGAAAGAAAGTCTCAGACTTACTGTTAGCTTCTTATGAGTCGCTTCCTGTGTCTCTGTCAGCTTTCAGTAGACTGAACTGTCATTTTGCAAATTCTGTCGTATAATGCTGGCTTCTCTGTGTTCTCTTTTCAAGTGATTCAAGTGGGGAAAACTAATGACATTTTGCTGAAACTGATACTTCTATTCCTCGATAAGCACTTAAGTTTGCGTGGAAGATAATGGCCACATTAATTATGTTATTTATTGCTGCTTATGTTACCATGATACCAGCTTTGGAATTACCCAAACTTCATTCAATATTTAGTTTACAAGGAGTTAAAAGTGATTAAACATATTTTATACACCGAGAAGAGTTCCTGTGTGGTTTTGGAAAAAGAACACAGTAGTACTAATAATTCTTTTTGTAACTTGATGCAGTTACTGGCAACTGGGTTTGGCCTTATTTTTTATAATCTTGGACACCGGCAGCAGGGAGAACTTAGGTACGTGATTTATGGGAATATGAACCTGAAGATACAAATGTCTTTTGTTCCTTCTGTTTACCTTCAAAATTTTAAGTTGGTATGATTTTCTATGTTGTGAAATGTATTTTTTTCTTAATCTATGGTGGGAAGATGGACTTCGTTGGATCCACTTAGATAGACATTTACTTTAAAGGGCAGCCCGGTGCACTAAGCTCCCGCTATGCGCGGGGTCCGGGGAAGGGCCGGACCACAAGGGTTTACTGTACGCAACCTTACCCTGCATTTCTGCAAGAGGCTGTTTCCACGGCTTGGACTCGTGACCTCCCGGTCACATGGCAGCAACTTTACGGTTACGCCAAGACTCCCCTTCTAAATAGACGTTTACTGCCTTATAAATTTGTCTCAGACGATTTCTGTTCAGCTCATTTAATGCTTTAGCCTTACCTTCTTTAAGATCTATTAGTTCCTCATGTGGTAGTCTATACTTTACTTAAACCACCACCCCTCCAAGCTTCCCCATCCGCGTATTGTATAGTCTACGCTTTCCTTAAACCACCACCCCTCCAAGCTTATCCATCCGCATATTGACATGGCTGCATAGTCAGGTGTTCTTGATTTTCTTTTGTAGAGTTCCATCTTCCAACTACTAAAGCACATAAAAATAGTTTGTCATTTTTTCTGAATATAGTTACCCTCAAACGTTCTTCTCCTTCTTTGCAGTGCGTATTCTGTATTCAATGAAGATTTTCGAGAACTTCCAGGAACCCTTAACGCAGATCACATTGACAGAGATATTCGGGCAGGCCGATTTTGAGTCAGACGTTCAACATTCAAATGGAAAAAATATCCTATCCTTTGTCACCTTGCATCAGAATTTGCTGTAGAATTAACAGTAACTTCTTCGCCATGTAAATGAAAATGTTCATTTCTTGCCCCGTGTGCTTCACCAAAATGGTGTTGATCGTACATGTGAACGTAAAATCAACTTGACTTCAAGGAAGTCAAGTTGATATGCTTTCTGCTTGAAGGTTGACCATATGTGGCTTTCTGCTTAAAGGTTGACTAAGGTACGGATATGCTTTTAGCTGTATAGTGAACAGAAAGTCTCTCATGTAAAATCTTATTAAGCCTCAGTTTTGGGCATTTAAGTGTTTTCTGTTGTGTGCCATATAGGAGAAAAGTTCATGTAAAACGACTATGACATGGATAAATATGGGACTGATTTTGCGTGGTCTCTAGTTACATGAGCATGGTTGTGATCTACATAAAAAGTAGAGGTTCAATAGCTCTCCTTTCATGTGTTACCTAGTATGATATTATGGTGACCATTGATATTTGTTTCCTTCTTTTGGAATAAGTGGGAAGAAACTTCATATATTTGGAAAAGATTCGAATGGAGTAAATTTTGACTAGGAGCAAGAGATAAATGGAGTGTCTCGAAGATGTAAATTAGACGGCAACAACAACAAACCTAGTGGAAATTTCACAAGCGAGGTTTGGGGAGGATAGGATGTACACAGACGTTACCTTACGTTTATGAAGGTAGAGAATTCAGACATGACTACCAAATTGGTGGAAAAAAAGTAAAGGAGTTAAAAAAAAATAGCAGGATATCATTTTGAAAATTCTCTCTTTTTGATAGGTCAATGGTCATAAGGCTAAGTTTGACCTTGTCTTCATTTGTCAATCTTGATAATTTAGCCAAATGTGAGAATATCTACAATTAAGGATTGTACATTATGGCTGCAATGGTGATTTAGCAGACAAGGGTTAGTTAAATATCGAGTAATTTATTTGTTGTATGCTTGACCGGTACATAACTTCATTTCCTATTTAACTGAAAAGCCTATTTAATTTGAAAAAACTAAAGCAGAATTTAATCTTCTCTCTTTTCTTAAATCTTTATTATTCGCGCTGTTATCAGTCTAGTATTTTGTTATCGGCAAGAACAAAATACTAGATCATACTAGAACAAGTTTGTTGAGAACCATTAGGTCTCGGGTCCAAATTCTAGCGCAAACAAAAATACTATGTAATCTCTTCCTATATGTTCAAACCTTGATAAAGAGAGTTATTCGGTACTTGTGATGGTAGCAGGAAGCAATACTCCGTGGAATTAGTCGAGGTGTGCGCAAACTGACTTACGACGATTATAAAAGAAAATATAGTCAACATTCATTCGAAATCACAACTCTCTCAACTTAGAACTTACAAGGTTTAAATCTTGAATTTGTCACTCTCATTCCTCTAGTCTTTCAAGTTTGTAAGCTTACAGCTACTCTGTCTGAAACCAACGTTGAAGAGAGTAATTTTCTAGGATTGCTACATTTCCAGCTTGCTCCTGATAAGTACCTTTGCCATTCTGTGTAATACAGTTGTCACTATCAAAATACTATTTTTCTCAATATGACAAAGTGGAGCATTACTTTAAGCTAAAAAGCACAGGCCAAAAAGAGGAAATAAAATCTAGCTTATTTCGCTGTAATCTGTCACTGATAAAGGACCACACACTACTTTGATTCTCCTCTACCAATGGGGTTATTGCTGAACTAATAATAGGGGGTGGGAAGAAGGAAATATATGGAATTAATTTATGATATACACCGACCGTAGGTGTCTCTTGCAAAAATGCAGGTAAGACTGCGTACGATAGACCCTTGTGGTCCGGCCCTTCCCCGGACCTCACGCATGCACCGGGCTGCCCTTTTTTTTTTAACTGACCGTTTGTATATTTTAACTTGTAATAAGTATCATATCTTATTTCTAGACCAGTAGTCCTACTTTTTTATGGGCAGAGTTACCTGTAGTTATCGCTGACTAATAATAGAGGGTGGGAGGGAGGAATATGGAATGCATTACAGTATATAGATTTTTACACATTGGTATATTTTAACTTGTTGTAACAAATAACCTATCTTATTAGGCGGAGGCAGGATTTTTGTTAAGGTGGTTCAAAAATAAAAAAAGTTAAAAATTAGAACTGATTGTGGCCAGCGGTAATTGAAGTACTAACCTCACAAAGATTTTGAACCCTTGACCACTAAGTTATGCTTTTGGCCTGATATACATTGTAATATATAAAGGTGCGAAACAGATTTTGCCTTATATATACAGTGTAATTTTGCGGTGAGAAGGGAACCCTCTTTCGCCCCCTAAATCCGCCCCTGCATTTTCCGGTCCACAACCTTGCTTTCTATGGATATTTACATGTTGTTATCATTTAGGTAGTCTAATCGTGTAAAAATTCTTTTACATTATTAAACTTGGAGGAATATTTGCAAAAAACAATCAGTTAATTATGCAGTATTTATTCTCTCTCTTTTTTTCTTTTAGAGATAATGGATTTTGAGCTTTTAGTTACACTTTTGTAAAGCTTATGTTAGTGTCACTTCTTTAGTCATTTTCTCACCGAAGGAACAAAAAGGTATAGGAGAACATTTTGTTGACATTTTGTTCAAAGAGAATTAAAGCAGCAACTGTTGATTCTCTCAGAAAAAGGGTCAGAGAACAATTCTTTTACATTGTTTTTGCATGTTTCTTGATTGGTACGTTGAATTACTAAGTGTGTTAAGTTACTTTGATTCCATCCAAGGAATTCTGATGTGTTACAGGCAAGAAAAATATTACTGCAGCATTTGATGTGTTAAAGGCAGAGGCTGATTGGGAATTGTACATTTGAGATTATTGGTACAGATTCTTTAGGCTTGAACAGGATCTGTTCTATAGGCTCGTACCACTGTATCCTTGAGTTCTAAGGCCCTCCCCAGACCCCACAACGTGGGATATTACTGAGTATGTTGTTGTTGTATTCTTTAGGCTTTGCTTGTGAGTTACTTTAGTCTTTGTTTCTCCAGGCTCTTTGACTACATATGCTATAGATCCTTTATCATAATTTCTTTTTTTTTTGGGGGTGGGGGGTGGGGGTGGGGGTGGGGTTGGTAAATGATACTAGTATTCAGGCCAATTTGTACGCACCGCGGCTATGTCCTCGGATATTCACTATTCACTACCTCCCACCCTGAGGTGGAGCCACCTTTATCCAAATGGAGTCAATTGACTCTCTTTTTCAGGAGGATTACATTGTTGTTTTTTCAAGGGGAGACTTGGCGTAACTGGTAAAGTTGATGCCATGTGACCAGGAGGTCACGAGTTCGAACCGTGGAAATAGCCTCTTGCAGAAATGCAGGGTAAGGCTGCGCCGTTGTGGTCCGGCCCTTCCCCGGACCCCACGCATAGCGGGAGCTAGTGTACCAGGCTACTCAGATATCTCATGGTTTTCACCTACTTTATTGAGCGTTCGGCTACACCCTTATGTGTTTCTTTATCATAATTACTTAGAATTATTACTAACACAAGAACAGTATTTTGCATGTCCAAGAGTCTAAAAATAAGAAGTTAGATATGGTGCTAATTGGTAGAATGATTAGCAAACAATGAAAACCACCCTAAAATGCAGGGCTTATACATGGTTAGTCCACAGATTAAAGGTCAATAAAGTTGTCCCAACTAGTGCCTATGGACATTTGAATCTAATCTCAGACAACTATGAGTAAGAGTTAGGTATTTTTTAGGTCAAGAGGAATCTGGAACCTATGAAGTCTATCTATGTTGTTTGGACTCTTCAGAAATGTTGTCGTACCTATGTCGGATACTCCAAAAATGCACTACCTTTGGAGGATCCGACACACACCCGATGACATTTTTGAAGAGTCTAAGCAACATAAAAATATTAAAAATCTATAATCAACCAGATGATACCTTTTAACATTTCAATCAAGGCTTATGCATTTAGCAAGTTAATCAGCTAGTAATTAATGCTTTAAACAGTTTCTTCGGAATCTTGTAAGAAATGTTTAAATAGTTCAGCTAAGTGTCCTGCATTAGTTGAGGGAATGATGAGTTATTGCCTCCTTACATGATTTTAGGCAATCCCCACTTTATGAGCTAGCTTTTTGACTTTGGAGTTCGAGTTTGGCCCACAGTCCATTTAACATGATATCAGAGTCGAACCCATCTTAATTCTTGGTTTACCCGATGTTAGGCTCCCATGTTATGTTGTCTAAGCTCCAAAATGTCCGGTCTTGGGTCCAGTCTTCGGCGTGCAGGGAGGTGTTAAGTGTCCCATATTGGTTGGAGAAATGAGGTGTTGTTTGCTTGTATGGTTTCGGCCAATTCTCACCTCATGAGCTAGCTTTTGGGATCATGTTAGACCCAGTGTCCATTTTCTTTAATAGGTTCGATCGCTTTGAAGAATGTAACAAACAGCTGCTAATGAGGAAATTTTGTTCATGCACAATAGAAGTTTTACAACAAGAACTGCAACTTTATAAAAAGTGGGAAAAACCATTTGTCCATCATATAGTTTACTGACATTTTGATTACATTATAAGAAATGATCAGAAACAGAAAGATGATACAAATCAGAACCAGAAACCAGCTACAAACTAAGACCATTTCCTAATGTGATCATTAAAAAGGATCAACACTAGGTATCTCAATACTTAAAATGACAACAATGTACTAAAACATATTAGCTACTAGGATTGAACTTGGGAACTAAACTTGACACGCTGTAATCGAATGGCTCTGAGACAAACATAAAAATCTGTTGTCTCAGATAACAATAGAGTTTGTCAAAGTAAACCAAGTTGCATTGAGCTCTTTCTTATAGATGTTTTCATCAAATTACTGAAAATTATCTTCGTGCGACCATAAACCATTAAAATCTCCCATATTAGCTTGATTCCAACCTTCACACCCTGCAGTAAACACAGAGAAGATAACATTAGTTTTTCCCTTACATTTGTTGGAGAAGATTTGGATTTTACGAATGAGTTGGCTTGGTCATAATAATAACCTTCATAGGACATATCGTCGTTGCCATAGAATCCCGTGTAGTTTCCATGAACTGAGTAGGGAGATACACAACCATAGCTACTGAGATCGCCAGAAAGTTCTACTTCTCCTCTAAAATTCGGGAAAGATGAACTCGAGGTGAACTCAAATCGATCACTTGGTTGTGTTAGTGTCATGTCTGGAAAGACATAGTTCGGATAGTTTCCACGCGTACTCTGTCCTTGAGAACATTCCTACAAAGCAGCCAACAAAATCAATACGAAGTTCAAACGAAAAACCAGATTGAAATACATAGAAAAAAGAAACAATCTCTGTACCTTTGAAGAATCAAGAATCATGTCATTTGACATCCAAAAGCTTGCCGCATTAGTCCCCTCATAAGGAGAAGTTA